AGAGACTGTGGCTGGCAAACATCAACACTCCTTTAGTTTTGGTGAAGGCATTAACCAGGAAGGAGTCTACCATCATAGGAAGAATTTTGCTAGAAACCTCTCTTGCTCTACTGTGGATTCGACACTTTATAGGTAAAAATTACCTCCCTCCATGTCTATAATAGGAATGTATGTTTCATGGTATGACTTGGAAAATAACTGAGTTGTTGCCTTTGCCTTTTTGTTATGAGCATTAGAATCTTCTATTACCCAAACTGATTTTGATGTGGATCTGGCTCTCAGCCAAGACAGAAAACCAAAATCCATACCAATGATGAAAGAAAACCATCCCACGGTGGTCCTACTTTCCATGTGTTCAAAAGGAGATTATGTGCAACACCAGACAAATCACTCTGAGAAATAAGGTGCAAACTGTGGTCCTGCCTCTCAAGCTGTGGCCTCCCTCTGTCTCCTGAACAGGAAAGCTGGGAGGAAACTCAGAGGTCAGCTGAATGAAGCTGCCTCATCCACTGAGATGAAGGAATGGGCTCAGGCTTTACAGAGGTTTTATTTCTAAAATAAACAAGAGGGGCAGAAGTCAAGATGACATACTTTAGATTTCATAATGTTTATGATGGGCAATGGGGACCCATTCTATTTTTTACCAGTCTGTGTACTTGAGTTATTACACACACACACACACACACACCAAAAAAGAAGGAAAGAGAGGCTCTGGAGGTAGAGTTACCCACCCAGTTCACATAAGCGAGAGACCCAGGCCAAGAGTCTGGGGCCCCATGCTGTACCAGTGTGCAGCAAACCCTCCACAGAGGGACAGAGGGTAAACATTCTAGGCTTCACCATCACAATCGCCATCACAACTACTTTACCCTGCTGGTGCAGCTCAAAATCAGCCAAGGGCAATATGTGAGCAAACGAGTTGACCATACGCCATTAAAACTTTATTTATGGACAGTGAAAACTAAATTTTATATGAATGTCATGGGTCACAAAATGTTTAGATTTTTTTTTCAGCCATTTAAAAATGCAAATGGGGCTAGGGTGCCTGGGTGGCTCAGTCTGTTAAGGGTCTGGTTCTTGATTTCAGCTCAGGTCATGATCTCACAGCTTTGTGGGTTCGAGCCCCACATGGGGCTCTGTGCTGGCAGTGCAGAGCCTGCTTGTGATTCTCTTTCCCTCTCTCTGCCCCTCCCCCGTTCATGCTCTGTCTCTCTCTGTCCCAAAAATAAATAAACGTTGAAAAAAAAAATTTTTTTTTTTAAATTTTTTTAAATAAAATAAAAATGCAAAGGGGCATTTTCTTCTCACAGGCCATACAAATCAGGCAATGAGCTGGATTTGGCCCCAGGGAGTCATGGTTTGAAGACTCCTGATTCAGGGACAATTTTGACATAACTATTACTTTATTGTTGTATATATAATTCTCAGTTCACATAGTATGATCACTGTGACAAATCTATATTGATCCTTATTTTTATTCTCATTTTCCCTCATAAAAGAAAGCAAGATATAGCTAAAAGAGAGAAATAGCTTTCTCTTCCCACCCACCCATGTTTTCCTATATTTTCTTTTAAACGACTTAATGGATCATCATCAAGACGTTAATGCTGGAAAAGTGGGAACTTGAGATACAAACCCATTTCAAGCCTCCCAGTTCATGATATACATTCTGACAGCTTCACCCATAGAGAAATAGTACTGGGTGCTCAACCTTAACTTTTCTTTTTATCTCAACCAAGGGGCTTGACATATTACATGTTACCTTTTTGTAGATGCCAAAAATTGTTCCAATGGACACAAGGCAGTCAATATTGGAAGATCCATCGAGGGGATCAAAACAGACCACATATTTACCCTGAGCAGAGAAAAAGGAAATACAACTTTACTTTTAAAATTATAGCAAAACAACAAGAATACACTAAGGGGATAAAACAAGGGACTCTAGGGGAAAGTTCAAGAAATGTGAGTCATTTATCCTCTGTCATGGAAGGGATAAGGTGGCATACAGAATAAAAACAACAACAAAGTATACATCCCAAAAGATCATTAGGCAAAGAGAACACAGAATAACGGGTCTAGATGAAAATGATGAAATACAGATAAATAAGTCAAAAATTCCTACACTGTTGATACAGATGGATCATGATTTTGGTTTGAGTTTCCTGGCAGCCAGAGGAAAAAAAGAAACAAGGTTAGTCACTTATTTTTCTTTATTCATAAGGGGGAAAAACGTAACAATTCCTTAGGTGAAGCAAAGACAGAATTAAGATCTGTAAAAAATCTTCTCGTGCAGATAAATAATGATACTTGAGGTTATAGTGCACAGAGCTCTCAGCAATATCCCTACTGTGATTCCCAAAGGGCATAACTCTCTGTGGTAGTTGGACTATCAAAATGTCACTCTTCGAACTGGATTTTCAGCGGTGTGCTGGAGCTGGTCCCTATGGGTGCCCAAGAGCTAATGGTGCACATCTCTTCCCAATTGTGCTTTCAGTGATGTCATGTTGGTAGCTTGAAATAAACTATGGGAGTATTGACACAGTTGAAATTGGCATGTGCTACACATCAGAGATTTTTTTTTTTTTTAAGAGAGAGAGGGGCGCCTGGGTGGCTCCGTCAGTTAAGCGTCCAACTTCGGCTCAGGTCATGATCTTGCGGTTTATGAGTTCAAGCCCTGCATCAGGCTCTGTGCTGACAGCTCAGAGCCTGGAGCCTGCTTCTGATTCTGTGTCTCCCTCTCTCTCTGCCCCTCCCCTGTTCACACTCTGTCTCTCAACAATAAATAAATGTTAAAAAAAAAAATTTTTTTTTAAAAAGAGAGAGAGAGAGGGAGGGAGAGAGTTTACCAGTACACCACTGGGGATTTTCCATCTCCAAATCCACCACTTTAAGATGTGGTTTTTAAATGTTCTGCATCAAATTAAGAGGTTTCTCTGATTCCCTGACCTATTGCTCTTAACAAATCACCCTGGCTGATGCAGAGGAAGCTGTCATCTGGAAAACAGAAACATGCCGATTATCAAGGCATGTTACAGTCAGGGAAGTTTGAGGTAACTGATAGAGGATATTAAACACAAAATTCAATCCACATGCCTAAAACTGCCAAGTACCTTGAGAAGCCCAGCAGAGAAAAACATGAACTTTGAATCTGACATGAAGTGGTATTTTAGGAATGATGTAAAACAAGTTAATCCGATATGGCTTCCCACCCCTCTTATAAAGGTCAAAACTGGGTAGCAGCCAACCTCTTTAAATTAATCCTCCAATTGCTTTTTTCTAATGCTACTCCTTCCTGTCGCCAGTTCATCTCAAACAGGGAAAGGCAGAAAGCCCATATAAGTGCACATCACATCTCAAAAGGTTTTTTTCAAATCATGATTGCTGTTCTTCAAAAACTGGCTATACTCTTTCATTCACTTCTTCAACAACAATTTATTGTTGAGCCCCTACAAGCTGCCAGGCAAGATGCTGGGATACATAAAAGAATATAACCCATCAATGCCTTCAAGAAGCAATCAAATCAGTGGGATCCAAATAGATTATAATGCATAAATCAGCGATAGGAATTGAAAGCAGTTTTTTTTAAGTGTATTTATTTTGAGACAGAGTGCACAAGTGGGAGAAGGGCAGAGAGAGAGAGAGAATCCCAAGCAGGCCCCATGCTGTCAGCATGGAGCCCCACACGGGGCTTGATCCCACGAACCGTGAGATCATGACCTAAGCTGAAATCAAGAGTCGGACACTTAACTGACTGAGCCACCCAGGCAACCTGAACAGTTTAAATTGGCAAGAAAGGTGAGTGTGAAGGTTGGCTATTTGGTGGGTGGAGATGAAGCAAAAGAGGTAGTTAACAGAAGCCAGACTTTGAAGAGCCTTGAACATGACAACAAAAATTTAGGGTTGGGGATGAGTAGGAGTACATAAGAGTCTCTCCAGTGTATGAGTTCAGTGGTGGGGTGGTATTGGCATGAACTATGGTGTAGACAGTAAATTTCAGATACAGAAGTGAGGTGCAGTCTGTGAATGATGACTGATGGTTTGAGAAGAAGATAGGATGATTCCTAGGAATCCACCTTGGCTGAACAAGTGGAGCCATTTATAAAGCTAGGAAGAAAATGGTTACATTGAACCCCTCAACAGTAGAAATGCAGACCCACCCTTTTTTCGGGCTCTACTATAATGGCATGCTTATCTTCTTCTGACACAAGAACACAGGTGGCAAAGGATGACTTTAACATGTTAATAACCAGGTCATTGGAGAGGACATCCAGCTTCTTCACTTGGTCACCTGTCACGTTGGTAGAGCCAGCAATTCCATAGCTAGAGGAAAGAAAAGCCACAAAAATATAAGCCATGACCACCAGAATATGCTAATGCACCTATAAACCCATTGGAAACGGGTATTAGGAGGATTTAGAAGACAGGAAGGAAGACACATGGTTTGGGAGAAAAAAAAAAAAAAAAGAAGAACGGTCATCTCCCTGGATTATTCATCTGTCCAGTACCTATCAAGTTTCCCAGCACACGTCTGTGGTTACATCCATGTTTCTCAACCGTTTTTTAATGGCCCCTAAGAAGGCTTTTTAGCTTTTTTTCCTAATCACATTCCTCCATGAAATTTTAATTTGAATACTACAAATATAGTGTATATCTGTGCTTTATATATTAAAAAGACTGATCTTTCTCACTTCCCCCCAAAACCAATCTTTACCTCCCAGAAGCACAGGTTTAATGCAGAATGAATCTGCTGAGAGGTACAGCAGGCAAGGGAAACTTCTGGGGGGGGGGGGGGGGGGGGGGGGGGGGCAGGGAGCCTTAGATATGAGCAAAGACAAGGGATGCTATGATTTTAGAGCTGTAAAGCTCCTGAAAGAAAATATTGACTGGTCGCATCACCTCATTTTATAGAGAAGGAAGCTCACACCCAGAAAGCAACAGGCTTGTCTGAACCAGAGAAGCAGAGCAGAAGTGAGAAGCTGCAGGAAGTGGAAAATCTGGAGTTTCTACTTTATTTTCAAGGTACCTGTAAGTCAGTAATTGCAGAATTCCAGAAGCGGAGTGGCTTGTGCAAAATGCAGCCTAGTTTGCTAGAATGAAGTAAGAGGCAGGTTGTTCTAGCCCGGTGTTGAGCAGGAACACTGAGAAGAGGGAAACGTTTTGGAGAAAATGCACAGTCCAAGAGAAGCGATTGCGTGTGGGGAGGGCAAGTAGGAGCGTTGAAGACACCGCCAAACAGCTGAGAGTGGGTGACAAGGGGCACAGTGTCAGCCCTCGCTGAGGCTGCCAGGAGCACTTGCCTGGGAACCAGTGGTCCCAGGAGCCCCTGCTTCAACTCCTGCAAATGCGTTTTCTCTAAACAGAACTCACATGTCTCTGGCTGGACGGACAAACCGGAGCCAACACTGGGAACCGTGCCACCCAAAACGCCTGGCCTGGCCTGACCTGGCCTGACCGTCTCCAGAAGGTAACTCCGGCTTCCCAGCAAGCCCACCATTCGTGGCGCCTCAATGTCATTCACCTGCCCACCTGGGGATGGTGTCTCATCCCACCAGCCCTCTGCCCACTGCCACCCTTCCCACCGTGTCGCTCCTCGTTCATGAGTCAAAGACCGAGGGATCTGTCAGACCCACAGCTGTAGCCCGTGGTCCAGGCATTGGGTCCTCTCCCCACATAATCTTTCTCTCACCTCAACGGTGAGGCCGATGCTGCTGGAGAAAGAAGGCAGCCAGATTCTGGGTGGAATGACAGGGGCTTGGCAGGGCCACCAACCCAAATACACCTCCCTCCCTAGCCCCACTGGCCCTCACTGCTGCTCCTTCTAAAGTCACTATGAATTCAGGCAGGCAAACAGGCTGTGGAAAGGAACCTGAGCTCTCTAACAGAGACCCAGCTCACACCTCACCTCTGCAAGTCGCTTTCCTCTCTGTGCCTCCTTTGGTGCATGAACCCACTGAGGGCAGTGATACCTTGTGCGGTGCTAGAGGACTCCATGAGATGAGGCACGCAAAGGGCTTAGCACAGCCTTTGGCATGTAGTAGTAGGAAAAAATGTTAATTATCTTGGTTGCTCTCTCAAGGGAGCCCTCATTAGGGATCTGCACCTGCTGAGGGAGGGGAAGCGGGGGTTTCGGAGAGCCCGCAGGCTTCATCCCCCATCATGTTAGCATGGATGGTTTATCCTTCACTCCTGTGAGGAGGACGACAGGGGTATGTTTTCCTCCATTGTGTCCCGGCTTCCAGCACATAGTAGGCCCTCAATAAACACTTTCTGCATGAATGAATGGCATACACCCAGGAGAGCAGAAACCTGAGCCTGAAGGAATGAGTATAGGAGCAATGGACTTTCAAGGTCATTCCACACCTTAGAATGCCGGGGAAAGCCACTGGCATGGTCTCCAGAGGGCCAGGCCTATGGGGACAGCTCCACAGAGGCCTGGAAGCCTGGGGCAGAGGGACGAGGCACCTGAGGTAGGCATGGGAAAGGCCTATTTCACACTTCGGCCTATGTCCCGCCTGCTCAGGTACCTCGTCCAGCAGTATGGGGGAAGAAGAGTCAGACTCCAAGGCTTCCTAGAGGTTCGTGTGAGTGTCCATTCATTTCACAATATTTATCATGCCCCCAGGAGATGTTCTGAGTGCTGGGGGTACAGTGTGGAGCAAGACAGATGAGACCACTGCCCTCATAGAGCTTATATTCAAGTGAGTGAGACAAACAAGAAACAGTAAGTGCTCTGGAATGGTCAAGACCACCAGCCTGGTTCCTCACTGCTGCCCCGAGTGTTAAGCTCCTGTTCTGGGTCACAGCGGGTGACACCACCTCTCTGTAATGGGTGTCAGGTACGCCATATAACACTCTGGGGACACGTGCTACACCTGGCACTGAAATGGCCATGTTCCCTGCCAAACCAGTGCAGGTAACTGGCCACCTCTCTGGCTCCAACTCCCTGCAAGGTTGGGTGGTTACCTTTCCCTTTCTCCTCTTTACGCCATTGAGGGTTGAGCTGTTCTAACGAGAAGGACCCTTTCCCAACTATCCTCCAGTTGCTTGTGAAACATGAAAACAAAATATATGGAGATATAATGTTCTAGGCCCCTCAAACTCAAAATTCAGGTACTTTACAACTTTCTTAGGTCATCTTGTGGCAGGGTTTCCCCTGGTGACGCCTGGTGTTTAAGAAAGTCTTTTATAAAGGCATAGGAAAGTGATTCTGAGGTAGAATCAGGGTTCAGGAGAATGAGTTCCCAGACTGCCGCGTTGACAGTAATTACAACCAAGTTCATATCCTATCACTGGGTGTTCTTTGCGTTTTGTCTTAGCACACAAAGTTACCCTGACTCGTGTTTGTCCCCTGCATTATTCCGCTCAGGGATGATAAGCCAGGCAGGACAAATGCTCAGTCGGGCTTCTCCCCAACACACCACAGGAGGGGCCCTCAGAAGAGCTGCAAGATGTCCCTGAGGGAACACATTTCCACAGCCCAATGAAAAGCCAGAAGCATGCAGGGCTCCTGCAACTCTGACAGAGGAGAAACGTCCTCAGAAATACCCTCAAGGAACTAATTAGCTGAACAACACATGGAGCTTATTTTCTCCCAAGTTTTCAGAAACCCTCTTGAAACAAGAAATGTCTGCCTTCTGATCAGTCATCATTCCTCAAAGGCCCCAAAGGATAGATGACAAAGAGCCTTCACTGTGTATTCCGATGGCCACAAGGACAGAGCAGCATCACCCGCCTTTGGGATGGACAGCAGATGTGGGCCTTGGCTTCTAGTGAGGCGGCCCATGCCTCTGCCCGGCCACTTTAACTAGGGCTTGGAAAGTGAATCAACTGTGTTCCCCAAACCAGAATTCTAGACAGATTCCAGAAGAGCCCAGCAGAGGCCAGAAGCCTAGCCTGGTGTAGAAGCAACTTTCGTGCCAGCTGTTGTGAACAGGAGGGCACGGAACCAACTACCCTTTCACACACCACCAGGCTCTTTCTTACATCAGTTCCCAATTGCAGTTCCCTGGGGCCAGAATCAGGCAGCAAACGAGGCTGCAAGGTTGTGGGGAAACCATAATACAACTCTGTCAAAAAAAGCCTTCCAGAATCCAACTATGCCTTACGATCAGTGGAGAAAGAGAATCAAGCCAAAAGGTGAAAACATGGGTTGCCCTAAGCAAGCTGTAAACCTCTAGGCTGAGCTCCACCCTCCACCCCACACAGAGGACTCAGTTGGGCACTGATCATGCAGAGATGGGGTCATCAGTTGTGACCGAGCTAGTCATTTGATCTGCCAACGAAGCTTTTCCTAAATGCAAGTTATCACAGAGGGAAAGGGCACACATCATGGGCTATAACTCCACGTGATGAGGGAGCATAAGTCAAGCTGAGGGGCAAGCACCAAGTAGCATTACCCCTGCCTTCCCCAGGCAGGATATGTGTGACATTCCTCAGACAATCCTGGCTGCCCAACAACAAAGGAAAGGACAGAAAACAGATGGCTGGACGGGTCAGAGTCTCCATCAGTTTACAAATCTCTTAGTCAATTACAAGAAAAAGGCAATTTTATTAATAGCCTAAATCTCCAGAAACCTATAGACTCCCTTTCCTGGAACCCCAACACCACCCTCTCCTCCATAGTGATGTGGGGGAACAAAGGAAGGAAGAAAATGGCAGATAAAATTGAATCTCCGTATAACCTACAGCCCATTGACAGATACTTGAGGCAGGCAGAGTAAAAGTTTCTCCAGGAACTCCCTACTGGTCTCAATGTTAACACTTTGCTAGAGGGAAGAACAACCTTGGCCTGACAATAGCTAGGCCTCCAGTAATCTGTGAGTCTTTAGCATATGAAAATCTCTTTGGAAACTTCCCTTTTGACATAACCTCCCTCAGCCCCAAAGTATATAAAAAGCCACTCTTCACAGCCTTAGTGCAGCTTTCTGCCCACAGGTCCTGTCCTCATGCTTTAATAAAATCGCCTTTTTTGCACCAAAGATGTCTTCAAGAATTCTTTCTTAACCGTCAGCTCCGAACCCCACCGTCACCCCAAAACCTCATCACACAGGCTAGGACTCTAGATTACTGGAGTTCAGGTCCTGGCTCTGTCACAGGCTAAGCAAGCCAAGGAAAGTCACTTAAAATCTCTAACCTTTGGTTCATCTGTAAAAATGAAAATTAAGTACATCTACTTGGTAATATATGGGGGAAGCGAGGGTCAATGAATTGATATAGGCTTAGAATAGAGCCTGGCATATATAGGTGAGTGAGCAAGAATTGGTATCATTCCATTCTCATCCCTAATTTTCCTTGGAAATAATACACCCACGCTAAGAACC